GACCAAAATCATCGGTAGGCCATAGCGAGGCTGGGTGAGATAGGACATGGCAAAATCGAGGTAGTCTGAAATTATTATGAATCAGAAAACTAACACTGATACTGCTATAGTGGGTCCTCCCTCATGATTGTGTCGAAGTCGGCTTGTCGTAGGTATCCTCTGGTGCCAGAAGGGACAAAAGGAAAAGGAAGGGATGCGTTTCATCCAGGACCTGCTAGTAGACTCATCAGTAAGGCTACTCTAGCAAGCCAATTTTTTTCCCAATTTAAGATACGTTTAATGCACCAGAAACAATAATATACATACATAAAGGAACCAAAACGTAGAAAAGGGTTAGAAATGAATACTTGGACTATGAGATCGATGGCTCCAGCGTGAAGCACTCGCGATCTAGTCATAGAGTAATATAAACTTAAGAACTATCGTATATTAGCATGCCTATGTATAGAAAAGGCACGAAAACTATACAGCTTTTGGTTTTAATCACTCTAGGCCATGTCACTCTCTGGGCAGTGTGTATTAGGCCACAACGCCACTTAAAAACTATTGGAAATAAATCTGTAGTCATAGAAGTAATAAAAATTTAAAATTTTAACCGTAAATACCTCAGAAACTATTAAGTAGTTGGCTCTAGAATGATACATATTCTTGAATTGCATGAAGAAATCTATAAACCTGATCAAAGTGTCACCTAAATCGGTGACTCGAAGCACTTACACTCTCCTTGTAAGTTTAGTTTATGAATAAGCTACAGACATAGCAGTTGACACTAACTTGAGAGCTTTGGTCTACATTTTCCTCGAAGTGACGTGACAGTGCACTGAATTTCTTCAACAAATCTTGCCTATCTTCAGCTTGCTTATTTTCACCACAATTCCACGTAGGATAAGAACTCGCCAAGTTTACCAGAGTGAAAATTAAAGAATGACTGGAATTGACTTTATTCCCTGCTTCTTTCGTTACAAAATCTATTTGCAACCCAATATCTCTGCTACAAGCGTTTCATTCACGCCAAGGACAATGATAATGAGAGTCGTGAGAAGAAACGAGTAGGAAAGAATAGTGAAAGTGCAGATTTTTAGCAGAATTTCGTTATTACCTGTCATTAATTATTCCACGTCCAAGGAATATTCGCGTATCATCCTACAAATTTCTCCTAGACCACCTCTTTACCGACAAGCACCGCCTCTTAGACTTTAAACCATTAGGCAAACAACGTGTAAAGTAGCCAAAGCAAACGCAACTGACGAGTCAACTAACTACGTGCGTGGAGAGCAAACGATATTCCAACGTAGGACCAGTACGCAGTCGGCTGGAGCAGCCACTAGGGACACGAGGAACAACTAGCGCCGCCGCGCACGGAATTACATTACGCGGAACGCGGTGACTCAAAGGGGCCGGCGTTCGCTGGTCTCCCTGAATTCTAGGGGTGGGTCGCAACCTCAATTTTGAATTCCTCGAGCTCGAATTCTCGCTACTTTATTTAACTCCCGTAATATCAAATATAGTATCAATTGCGTTTCATTTTAGACACTGTGGTCTGCAAAATATTATTACGAATCTTTCTCAAAATCACTCTCAGAATTTTCCTTTCTGCAATTACTAGAAACATGTACTTGATTTTAAAAACTAATTAACGTCAACTCGTGTCGAGATAAACCTGTAATTAATATATTTATTTATTTTCATGGTACAACTACGATTATATCTATGTCTGCTACATTTAGGTGCCTACTAAAATCGGTAGTTTTAGCGTTAAATAGAACTACCTAACCAAATTTTTATTAAATAATATCCATATTAATTTTAAAAACAAATTGATGTCAACTCGTGTCGAGATACAACTGTTATTAATATATTTATTTATTTTCATGGTACAACTACGATTATATCTATGTCTGCTACATTTAGGTGCCTACTAAAATCGGTAGTTTTAGCGTTAAATAGAACTACCTAACCAAATTTTTATTAAATAATATCCATATTAATTTTAAAAACAAATTGATGTCAACTCGTGTCGAGATACAACTGTTATTAATATATTTATTTATTTTCATGGTACAACTACGATTATATCTATGTCTGCTACATTTAGGTGCCTACTAAAATCGGTAGTTTTAGCGTTAAATAGAACTACCTAACCAAATTTTTATTAAATAATATCCATATTAATTTTAAAAACAAATTGATGTCAACTCGTGTCGAGATACAACTGTTATTAATATATTTATTTATTTTCATGGTACAACTACGATTATATCTATGTTTGCTATATTTAGGTGCCTACTAAAATCGGTAGTTTTAGTATTAAATAGAACTACCTAACCAAATTTTTATTAAATAATATCCATATTAATTTTAAAAACAAATTGATGTCAACTCGTGTCGAGATACAACTGTTATTAATATATTTATTTATTTTCATGGTACAACTACGATTATATCTATGTCTGCTATATTTAGGTGCCTACTAAAATCGGTAGTTTCAGTGTTAAATAAAAATACCTGACCAAATTTTTATTAAATAATATCCATATTCGAATTCTGTCTACGTTCAATTTATTATTGTACTTTCTTTATAGAATATTGTACTGAATGTATTCATAAATATATTTCAAATATTTGAAAAATATTCTTAACCCTGATGAGAATTTTTACGCTTTTCGTACCAGGTACTTGCTGTTTCCCTTCTTATTTATGAATGCCTATTATCACGTGAATCAGCATTTTACCAATGCTGAGGACTATCAAATAACCGAAATACTTCGTTTCTCATTCACCCAGAGTTTCCAGAATTTCAAATGGACAAAGGCTAGTAAATTTTCGAGATTCGGAATTTTCTTAGACTCCACGATATTCATCTCTAGCAAATTCATGACAGCAGGAGGAACGAGCAGGAAAGACTATGGTAAGACGAGGACGTCAAGGTCTTTCTCGCTAATTCGATTCTTCTGATTCCTCCTCTTCCTCTTCCTCCTCGCGAAAGTCTTTGTCCGTGTCCTTCTCCTTTACGTGACATCGCGCGGCTCGAGGAAACAATTAGTCAGCAGCCTTCAGACTGCGAATTTGCCCGACTCAAAGCGAGGACACTTGGCGAATTTTAGGAACAGAGAGAAGGGTCTGAGAGGCACGGAGAAGGTTTGCCATTTGAGGCTTTGTTTCGCTGTCTCTGGGGTCAGGTTTCACCTGGCTTAGACTAATTGTTGGGCTACCCTGCGACAGGTGTTAGGTGTTGGGTGTTTGCCTAGTGTCGTGGAGGGGTCATCGAGGTTTGCTAAGTGCGTGGACAGGCATATCGTTCGTCGAATCTTGCTTTTGGGATTGGTACAGATGAGTCTTTCGCCAGGGTGACGTGACACGAGTACTAAAATTGGATTTGCTGACAGAGAAATGTAAATTTTTTCCTTAGTGTAAGTGAAGTGTAAGTGCTATAGGTGCATATCTGTGCAGACGTTAATTTTTGAAGCTTAAATTCTGAAAAATTAATATTTCTTTATCATTATGAGGTCGAATTGTACTGTCTTATGGTGGTTATGGGAGATAAAATTAATTATTTTGAAGTTACAGTGTCGAGTTTCTCTTTTTCTCTTTCTTATTTTTAACTGGGTATAAATGGAGCTTTGATTGTCAAATAAATAAATAAATTAATAAATAAATAAAAATTTATCATAATATTCAACATGGACTTTACTTTCTTGTACATTCCTTACAAACTTACTATACAAACGTTTTAAAATAATTATTTAAATAATATAATACTCTAACAATTCCACTGCTTCTGTAATAATTAAGTTTCGTATACTCTTGAAATTTGAAAATTGACTGAAAATATATGGTGGTCAAATAATATATGATGGAGATAAAATAAATTATTTTACAAGTTACAGTGTCGAGTATTTTCAATCTTCACAACGTTTTCTCTATTTTGTTTCCATCTGTGTATAAATGTAGCTTTGAATATCAAATAAATAAATATAACATTTAACATAATATTTAACATGGACTTTACTTTCTTGTACATTCTTTTATAAACTTGCTATACAAACGTCTTTAAATAATTATTTAAATAATATAATACTCTAATAATTCGACTGCTTCTGTAATAATCAAGTTTTATGTATTCTTGAAATTTGAAAATTGACTGAAAATATATGGTGGTCAAATAATATATGATGGAGATAAAATAAATTATTTTACAAGTTACAGTGTCGAGTATTTTCAATCTTTACAGTGTTTTCTCTCTTTTGTTTCCATCTATATATAAATGTAGTATATAAATGTAACAATACTGTATACAAATGTAAATGTAAAAATGTTGATTGTCAAATAAATAAATAAATAAATAAATAAATATAATATTTACCATAATATTCAACATTTCAACATTCTCAATCTTTACAACGCTTTCTCTCTTTTGTTTCCATCTATGTACCAATGTAGTATATAAATGTAATTGTATAAATATTGATTATCAAATAAATAAATAAATAAATATAATATTTACCATAATATTCAACATAGACTTTACTTCCTCGTACATTCCTTTACAAACTCACTATATACTTTAAAAAGTAACTTTAAATAATTATTTAAATAATACGATACTCTAATAATTCGACTTCTGCATAATTCTGCATTAATATTAATCATAATTTGCTTCCACAATAATCAAGTTTCGTATATTTCTCAGATTTGAAAAATGACCGAAAATATACCCGAAAAGAAGACCTATAGTACTCTCTCTGCTTCCATCTACCGATTGAAACAATCTGCTGACAGCAATCAGTGCGTTAATAACAGAAATCTACTCTGTTCCAACGGAATATCGAGCTATTCTCAGCCCGCGAAGCCAAAGCTGTAACGTGAAAAAACACAGCAAGGGAATGTGCAAATTATGCAAGCACACATAGAGATAAAACAAAACGAGGCACGATATGGTAGAAGTGGGGCATATTAGAGGCAGACATAACGCTTGAGGAACACACAGATAGAGAACAAACCTTGTTGTGCGACTTGAACATACAGGCGGTCCCGGCGAACAGCTGCGTCCAAGGAAACATAGAAATTAGTTACTAATTGTGTTTGTTTAATCGCGGCGACTGGTCCAGAGAGATTGAACAATCCCTCTGGATACAATGGGTTTCGTTGCTATACGCTAATTCGCGTTTCAACGTTGCGTGCTTCGCGTATATTAAAATTGCAAAATAATCGCGAAAATGGCAGATAAATTTCATTTCACCAAGAGATAAGAAATTTTCCATACAGATATTTGTATCTGAATGGAATAATTTGAATATTGGTAATAATATTCAAATTAAGAAAGCATGATAATTTCGAGGATTTTTAATTAAATGGTGAAAAGTATTGGTACACATGTGTGCATAAATATTAGAATATTTGATTCAACCATTTTTGGTGTTTACATAATATTTATATATTTATATAATAGATAATATTAATAATATTTTTAATATTATATGTATTACAACAATATTATTAATATTAATAATATTTATATACATTTGCGAAACACGCAAGTGAAAATGTAATTAGAGTGCTCGTATTTATTAAATAAATGTGCATTTGTTCTTTCAAATTTATTTCAAAAATGTTTTAAATGGAGAGACACTAATTTAACCTTATGTGTTAATCCTACAAAATTTTGGGAAAATTCTAATTCACCTAATAAGTGATATAAAGACCATCTTCGTATTTTCGAGGATTTTTAATTAAATGGTGAAAAGTATTGGTATACATATGTGCACAAATATTAGAAGATTTGATTCATCCATTTTTGGTGTTTACATAGCATATATATATTTATATAATATATAATATTTATATATATTTGCGAAACACGCAAGTGAGACAATATTTTGTATGAATATTTTAATATTTAATTTTAATATTTATTTTAAAAATATCTTAAATGGGGAGACACTAATTTAACCTTATGTGTTAATTGTACAAAAATTTGGGAAAATTCCAATTCACCTAACAAGTGATTTAAAGACCATCTTCCTATTTTTGAAGCCTAATTTAATCTTTCCTACATCAAACATTCCATTAAATATCGAACATGTACCTTCATTTGTGTTTATATAGTATACCATATTAATGTACATAATAATTAAAATAAAATAATTCCAAATTTAGGGAATATACATATATCTAAAGAAAAATTTATTGGCATACATAGACGATTGCAAAACCTGAAGAATTAATGCTAGAAAAATTCCATTTCACCTAGCAAATGATATGAAGACAGCCACCATTTTTCACGTCCAATCTGATTCTTTCCATAACCGTACCTTCACCTGTTATTTCTGCAATAGGTACTATTTTAAAATACATATTTCGGAGATATACATACATCCGAAGAAAAATTTATTATCACACACACACGCGTCTGCAATACCCGAAGAATTAATTATATAAAAATTCTGGGAAAAATTCCACTTCACCTAGAAAATGATATAAAGACATCCTGTTATTTTTCACGTCTATCCAGATCCTTCCCACATCAGACATTCTTTTATTTATTAAAAACATACGTTCACCTGTTATTTTTGGAGTACTACATTAAACTACATATTTCAAAGATACGCATACACCCAAAGAAAAATTTATTATCACACATATACATCTGTATTACCGGAAGAATTAATTATATAAAAATTCTAGAAAATTCCATTTCACGTACGATCACCTGTTACTTTTGGAGTACTATATGAGCTATTCACTGTACAAATCGACTAACTCCATTTTTAAAAAAATTTTAAATATAAAAGTTACGACTATACCAAGTGCTCTGATAATCAAATTAAAAATTTGTCAAAAAGTGAAGTTAATCGATTTACGCAGTGAACATAGGCCCGAAGAAAAATGGATCATCACAAAACTTTAAGAATTTCTCTAAATTTACCTAAATTTATCGTCACTACCCGAAGAATTATTTATATAAAAATTCTGGGAAAAATTCCACTTCGCCCAACAAATGATATAAAGACATATTCCTTCTCTTTTTCGCCTTTAACCTGACCCTTCCCACATCAGACATTCCTTCATACATCGGACACGCACCTTCACGTGACCACGCGGGGTGGAAGAGGAGGCATAATTAATCGGGCGTTGACGAGGGTAATTAACGTGCCGAGTCCAGGGCTGAACTAATCGACTACTCCGCGAGTACCCAGCCATATTACGATCATTATTGCCACTAGGCTCGCGGTGTCGTAATTCCAACGATTCCGATGCGTTCCTCGCTCGCTTTTAATCGCGATTAATAAATCGAAGCGCGGCAATGGGCACCAGGAAGCGAAGGTTCATCACTGGTGAAGAGGCTCCCTTGTGCAACGGTGGCAGAAACGATTCCAGACGTTGTCTGACTCGATGTTTTACTCTGACGATGAGATTAGGCGAATCTGATGAGAAGATTTTGAGCGTGGCGAGAGTTATACTCGTCATATCGAGTATACGGTTTATTTTCGAGTAAAAATTAATTATTTATTAATACGACACGTTGATTTCTTCGTTTCTTTTTTATAAAAAATGTTTAGAAGAATGTGCTAGAATAAAACAATTACGTGAGGATCGTCATAGAGTAAACACGTGTTAATAATAGTGAAAGAGAGAGAAAAGAATTTTCAAGATAGAGTCAATTTTTGCGTTTAAAATAGTTTATTTAGAATTGCCATTAATATTTAAACATTATTATCCAAATATATTAATTCGTCAACTGTTAAAAAACGTGGAAGATATTGATATTCATTTCTATCCACACCTTTGCAAATTACATTCACAATTTTCCAAAATTATTTCCAAGAATTATTTAAAATAATCTAAAAACAATCTAAAATATCCAATTATCTAAAATATTACCCAAGATCACCGTCAAATCGGAACCGATCTCGAAGAACCAAGACAAACTCAACTGGAACCTCGACGTGCACCAGGACACTCGCGATCTCGATCTCGATCTCGATCTCGATCTCGATCTCGATCCTATCGAACCGTCAATCATAGCCTCTCCCCGCGAGGGATCCGGGTTTATTTTGCAATAAGATTTGCCTCCGATCCCGAACCCCTGCACGACCTTTGTGAACGCAGCCGCGCCGCGAGATCCGCCTAATTCGATCCACACGATCGACCCCCTCCCGTTCTTGATCCGGCCGATCCGATTACGTCCGTGAGTACACGTTACGATCCTCCGTCGATAATCGATCTGTCAGTAACGCTGCAATCGATTCGCGTCCCGGAAGTCCGACATCGATAATGCAGCACGTACGCGAGGTCTTTTCCGCCACCCCCTGTGCCACCCCTTCTTCCTCATTCCTGCCAACGATCCCTAGAAGACTCGCTTCCACCATGGAAACTCGACACGTCAATGAAATCGCGATGTCTCGCGAAGATTCATTTTCCCAAAATTCCCTTCTTTCATCGACTACATTGTCGCAAATATAGGCCAGTTTTCCGGTAGATTCCTGGCTGCTACAAGATGGCGGATATTGGTGGACGCGAGAGGGTTGTTAGACAGCTGGAGGGAAAATTGGTTTCTATGAAAATGGATTTTTGATAAGATCGATTCTCTAACGCGGGTATTTATCAAAATTCGCTAGACCTGTTTTCGAATTTTTCAGGAAAATATATACGTTGTTACGAGATTTTCATATCCACGCGGTATTCGACCAAGAAGAGCGGATCGTAACTTCAGTGTAGAACAATACAACATCTTTCAGAATTTTTGGATTAAATAACAATCGGTTGTTGAGTATAAAAGGGACGTGTTCCATAGGGGTGGACGTGAGAGGGTTGTTAGACAGCTGGAAGGAAAATTGGTTTCTATGAAAATGGATTTTTGATAAGATCGATTCTCTAACATGGGTATTTATCAAAATTGACTAGACCTGTTTTCGATTTTTTCACACTTTAAGTGCCCAGTCCGTTTTATTTGCCGTTCCATTCAGACCCAGTGGCACACATCAAGTGGTCCACTAGTGTGCCAGGTGAACTGTTCATAAAACTCGGAGATATTGTACCAATTGCTATAACAGGAATTCCTAAACGTTAGGTCCAAAGATGGCGAAGAATTTAACACCAAAAATTGGCCAAAAGCTAGCCAAAAGTTAACCAAAAGTTAGCCAAAAGTTAGTCTTTTGGTCCTAATCTGGGCCGGTTCCTGAGGACCAACTGGACCCGAACGGGGTCTAGCGCCGGTTCCTGTGAACCGCAGTGATACTTAACGTGTTAACAATAATTTACAATAATTAATAAATGAATTAACAAAATAATCTATCTATTCGATTCTTTGCTGTTTTAACTAAGTACTGTAGTATCACAAGTTTTCCACTGCATGCACACGTAACTTTGCGAAAGTAACCGAGGGTTCAAAGGCCAGGTCAGTCGGGAAACCCTGGATGATGCGTCTGGCTCTTAGCACGACCATATTTAGGAATATTGGGGAGGAATTGGAAAATACGTGCAGGGTGTGCATGGTGGAAAGAAGAATATAAAAGGACAAGGATGTTCTGAGTTAACACTAGAGCTACCGATCTTTAGTGGGCACCTAACTACATAATGTGCACAGATTATAGTAATTTTAGAGGTACGATGAACATGAATGAATATACTGATTACAGTTCTTTCTTAATTTTAATTTGATACCAATTTTATTCTTAAAGCAGGCGTATGTGTTCGGTGATTGCAAAAAGAAAAATTCTGGGACCAGTCATTTTCACTGGGTCGTTAGTTCTAGCGTTAAGGGAGTTGTCGAGTTGAGAGTTGCTAAGTCAGTGGAAAATTGTCGAGTTAAGAGTTGTCGAAGCTAGTTACCAGAGTTATTGTTATTAATAATTGAGAATTGCGAACAATCGTGAGTTGTAATAGGAGATTTTCTGCAGAAGTGTAGGTTGTGCATTGTGATAAGTTGTAATAACTCGTGCCTTTATCGTTACTCACATACTCTATCACTGTTAATTTGTTATTAAATGAATATACACCAGAAATCCTCTCTATAAT